CAATGGTTTGCTCCTTCATCGTTCTCGGATCTTTCTCCCTGCTGGATCTTCGTTGATAGCTCACATTCTCCATGACTTCCACACTTCAGTCCAAGGCGGCCATTCTGGTGTGCAGGCAACCTTCCACCGTATCAACAACCACTTTACCTGGAAGGGTTTACGCAAGGATGTTAAAACTTACATTCAAAATTGTGAACTATGCCAAAAATTGAAACCCCCAAACCACCCTCCCCTCGGACTTTTGCAACCCCTTCCCATCCCTGACAAGCTTTGGGCAAACTTAAGTATGGATTTCATCACACACTTACCGACATCAGCTGGTCATACTGCTATTTTGGTTGTGGTCGACAGATTCTCTAAAGCTGCATATTTCATCCCACTGCCAACACATTATTCTGCAACGAAGGTGTCTCAATTTTTCTAGGATTTCGTTGGCAAGCTCCACGGTATGCCCCAGTCCATTGTTTCAGACCGCGATCCCATCTTCCTGAGCGATTTCTGGCGGACTCTGTTTAAGCTGCAAGGTACAAAACTCAACTTTAGTTCCAGCTACCACCCACAAACAGATGGGCAAACTGAAAGAGTGAACACATGTTTGGAAAATTACCTTCGGGCCTTTTCCCATTCCCATCCGTCCACTTGGTCCAAGTTTTTAAGTTTGGGAGACTATCATTAAAACACTTCTTTCCACACAGCAACAGGAATCACACCCTACCACGCTATGTTTGGCTGCAAGCCTCCCAACTTAGTGGCCTATTGCTTGGGTTCTTCCACCAACGAAGCGGTCGACTCTACCTTATCAGATAGGGGTACACTCATGGGGACATTAAAAGAAAAGCTTTTCAGAGCTCAACAAGTCATGAAAGCACAGGCTGATAAAAAACGCAAAGATTGGACCTTTACCTCGGGTGATATAGTTCTGGTCCGATTGCACCCATACAGGCAATTTTCTGTCAGTCGTCGATCCTCTCACTGGCTTTACATTTTTATGGGCCCTTTGAAGTTGATGAGAAGATTGGAACCGTCGCCTACAGTTTGAAACTTCCGATCACAGCGCGCAACCACCCGGTCTTCCATGTGTCCTTACTACGACCGTTTCGAACCAGACAAACCTTCACGGTTCATCCTTTTCCTTCCGCGGAACTGGAAAACCCCCTGATTCATAAACCATGCGCAATCGTTGGGTCCAGACAAATTTGGCGACGCGGTGTGCTCGTCCCTCAGGTTCTGGTGCAGTGAACGGATCTTCCACCGGAAGACTCCACATGGGAAGATCAAGACTTGCTCTTGACAACTGGACATGAAAACATTGCAGGTAAAGAGTTTTTAACAGGGACTTCTTCGCCACTCTCCAACTCGGGTTCAGATACAGGGATGGTTTATGATCGAAGGATTAAGGTAACGGGTACAGAGGCTATTCGTCTTTCCCAGCCAACTGGAGAACAAGAAGAAGTAACTGAGAGGGTGACCCAAAACTCGTTTAAAGCTCCAATGCTTCGGACACTTCCTATGAATCCCATTCAGCTTCCACCTTCAACGGTTGCGATATCATCCCCTATGTCAGCACAATCTGGACCGCACGTAGCTACAAGTGATACACAGTTGTCTCCCACAACTCACCAGTTTTCAACGGCTCAGATTGCATATCCCAGGGCCCCTAATCCACTACCATGAGATTCTCTGCTAAAGTTGGCCAACCCACTCCTTGATAACGTTGCTGTAATCAATTCATCTGACACTTCCCAACCAAACACATCAGTTCATCACATGGTTGCCATCAATGCTACTGCTACACCACCAGTTTTGGACACCAATTCGTTTCCTTTAGACTCCACAAGACTTGCAGACAAGTCTCCTTTTGCAGCGGTGGGTAATGTTACGAGCCCAAGTAGTTCAAGGGCTAATAGAAGGACCACAAGGAAACCAGCCCAATACAAGGACTTCATTATGGGCTGAAGGAGTAGTAGATCTATTATTAATAGTATTAATCCTGTTTCATTGAAATGTCATTTGAATTACTTGTAACAGACTTTGCGTATAAATAGCCTTATGGGCCTAGTAATATGATAAGAAATATTCAGATATTCTCTCCCTTTCTTCCTTCTTCTCTCTCTCTCTAATTCTGCTCCATCTCTCGATAACCTATTTTCCTCTTAAGTGAACTTTGTACCTGCTAGAGATGTTGGTTAGACTTTATTTGTTATAAGCCTAGAAAAACAGTGATTTTAAATTTTATATCAGCATGCAAGGCACGTAAAAGGATAATCTTGCTTTGAAGACTTTGGAATGAAAGGCTAGACTTAGAGGAGAACTAGTGGTAAGTGGGATGCAGAGATCTCTGTTGTTATTTAAGTTCTGGAGTTGTTTATTCACCTCCCTGAGAAAAAACAATAAACACTGTGTTGTAAAATATATACAACACAAAATTAATTTTATCGAAAATTATATGCATTAAATTAAAAAATATATACAATTTAACAAAAAAATTAAATCGAATTAATTAATGTTATATAAAGATTCAAATATATAAATCAATTTAATTCTTATATTTGGGCATACAAACATACCATGATATGAATATTGATTTGCCTTATAAGTGATTTTTTTTTTCAAAAGTTGTAAAGTATTAGTTAATTTGATTTTAAGTTTTCTCGTTTTAGTTGTGTAAATATATAAAATTGGGCTTTATATATGAAAGTTAGTAGGGTATTTTAGAATGAAAATGTAGCCTTATATTTGTTTATTAAGAAATCATTAATGTTGACATCGTAATAAAGCGCATTTACATTCATAACAAATGAAGTCATTAAAATTTAATCTCTTGAATTTCTAATAAATGGTTATAATTCCACACTTTCTCCTCTAAAAATTCATTATTTTAGATCAGTCAAATCTAAATATATAAATACACTTAAATGTGATCAATTTTGAATGTATTTAAATTTTTTTCTAATTATATTAATTAAATATTTGTATTCAATCTTGACATGCTGTAAATATAGATTTTGGTTTGATTTGTAAATAAAAATATTTTATTCCTTACTAGTTTATCCAATGTTATAAAAATCCAACCTGACCCGGAAATCGATGAACCAAGCGTATAATCGGTTCAATTTTTATATTGAAATAATCGTCCATGTAATAAAATCGATGCGACCTGGTCAATTTTTGTAAAAATCGGTGACCCAACCCGGTTCAAAAATAAAATAAAATTAGTTAGTTCTCATTAATTGACGTCTTTTTTTTACTCTCACACAAATGATTTGTTTTCTTTCGAAATATTTGAATGATCTGTTGCTTATTGAGTTACATATAGGTTATGTGTCTACAACACTAATTATTATTTTGGTTATGCAATATGCAACGAATTTTGATTTGATTTATAGTTAGAGATGTCGTCTATTGAATCTGAAGTACCAGTATCACAATTCACAAATATTATATGTTTGATTGATCTTTTGTTGGACAATGATATGTAATTTATTATTTTTCATATTAAAATATTTAGAATTAGTATAATCTTTTTACAGATATTTGAGTATATTTATAATTTTTTTAATATAAATTATAGATTTACATATACTTATAATTTATTATTTTTCATATTAAAATATCTGGAATTAGTATCATCTTTTTACTTATATTTATAATTTTTTTAATATAAATTGTAGATTTACATAGACTTATAAGGGAAAACTTCAAAAAAACCCCTATAAATTTCCTCAAAATCACTTACCTCCCTCCCCGAAATTTTTAATCATTTACCCCTACTTAAAATTTATTTATCACTTACCCTCTAATTTGATTTTCCATCCAAAATTTGGTTAACAGAGTTAAATTTTTTAAAAGGTACCACAATTACCTTTAATAGAAAAAAGAAAAACATAATTTCCTTAAAAATGCAGTTTTAGACAAACTCACGTAAGCAAAACATGAATGTAAATCAACAATTGAATCCTCCCTCTACTCTCAACGACACAGAAAACAAGAAATAACACCTTCTGCATGTTTGCTTGGTAATATCATATGATTAAGGGAAAAGTAAGGCATATATGAAGCACATAACGTAAAACTTTTCAGTTTCTATGCAAGCAAAATAAAGTGTGCCTCTGAATAAATTTATAAAGTCAGATTTGTTAGTCATATAATAGCAGAAAAGCTTATAATAGAAAAGGGAAGATCTAAACCTGCTGAGATGATGCCTCTTTAATCATTTTATTTGAACAACGACACCAACAATTGTGAGTGCGGTGTTTAATAGCAATGAGATTTGCAGGAAACAATTTTAATAATTACTAATTCTAACAAGGCTACCTTAAAGAAAATATTCCGTGAGTTCGTCTAAAATTGCGTTTGTGAGAAAATTATGTTTTTCTTTTTACCATTAAGGGTAATGTTGGTATTTTTTTAAAAATCTAAATCTGTTAACAAAATTTTGGAAGGAAAATCAAATTAGGGGATAAGTGATAAAGAAATTTTAAGTAGGGGGTAAATGATTAAATATTTCGAGGAGGGAGGTAAGTGATTTTGAGGAAACTTGTAGGGAGTTTTTTTTGAAGTTTTTCCTACTTATAATTTATTATTTTTCATATTAAAATGTTTGGAATTAGTATCATCTTTTTACAGATATATGATTTATAATTTTTTTAATATAAATTATAGATTTACATATACTTATCAAGTCATGCGGTTGAACTAGTGATTTACTGATTGAACCTTTAACCCAAAAACCTATAGTACCTTGACCACGTCAATAATCGAATCGAGTTTAATAATATTGATTTTATCTGGCTATCAATCATATTTATAAGATATTTGATTTCAAACATAACACAATTAGGAAAAATAACAAAAAGAAAATCAAAAGGCCATTTCCTTTATTTGAATATTGATCCAAACAAGAAAAAAAAGAGATATGTTTGGCGTTTGGCAATTGCTCGATGCAATTACCAAATGGGTGAGTGAAGTTTACGAGGAGCAAAATGCCCCTCGATTTATTCCTACATCTGAATGCTTTGGTTCTTAAAGAGACACCTCTGAGTGATCTCATAAGCCGAAAACACAGCACCGTTCACTACAAACGCTCTAATGACAGCAGTTCCTATACCCCGCCAAAGCACAACGTACCCTTCTTCCTTAATGCTCTTTCTAAAGCAATCCACAATGCCTTTGTATTTCAACGAAGAAGGTGTCTGAGCCTGCAATCTTGTCTTTATAACGTCAAAAGGGTAGCTAGAAACCCAACTCGCTACCCCAGCCAATCCTCCTGCTATTAACACAGTATTCAAGCTTTCTTGACAACTTTCTCTGCAACCTGGGTGAAGTTTTTCCCTCGCATAGTCATATGTCCAGAAGTAGAATCCATATGCAGGTGCATCTCTGAGCATAGTGATGCCAAGTCCTCGATAAATGCCACGAAGACCCTCCATTTTCCATATGTTCTTAGCGACACTTACAGGGCCTTTCTGTGGTTGTGTCAATTGGGCTGTGTTGGGAAGCTGAAGGCGAATTTTAACCAACTCAATAGGGGAGAGCAATGTGCTTTGGAGAACACCGGCACAAACTCCTCCTAAAGCAACACCCTTGAGTGAAGGAGGGTCATTCGCTGAAATGGACGAGCTAAATGCCCTTGAGAGAACTGAATGAATTTGGAAAACCATAGCGCTCTGTAGCCAGAAAAACAAAACAATAGCTTCAAGTCAATTAATTACATTTGCTATTAAAGATTAAAAAGAATAAACAATGACATAGTTATGCCAAACATTTACATGGGAATAGACCAATCTTATGGGTTATCTATTGTCATTTCTTTTAAATGTTCAATAGCTATGAATGGCCTATGGCTACGGACCGCCAAATGGATCGCACAATCGGGAAGTTAGCCCCTTTTTTCTTCGTTGAAGCCACCACCCGCTGGCCCAATAGATATGTCCGGCAATAAAATATGTAATTTTTTCAAAAATCCCTTGTATTGTTGCTTTAAATTATTTAATTTTTTTTAATCACTTAACTTTTTGTAATTTTTACATCCACACTCTTCTTTAACACTTTTAGAAAATTAATTAAGTATACATATTTTATCCTTCTTATGAGAAAAAAATAAAGTAATAAAATAGAAAATAAAAATAAGACCAAATTTTATGAAAAATTAGAACACTTAACAAAAGACAAAAAAAAAAAATACTAAAAAAATTAAATGTGTCTAAATAAAAAATATATTAAAAAGAAAAAAGAAAAAAATCACATTATGAATCTTCAGTATATTTGCTTTTATTTTTTCCTTGGTCTATTTTTTCTTTTTATTTAGATATGTTTGATCTTTTTTATATCTCTATTTTATTCTCTCTTTTATTTTTAATTTTTTTTTTTTACAAAAATCTTAGTAGATGGGATGACACAAGACTAAAAAATTTGAGAATAAAATCATAATAAAATTGATCAAAAAAGAAAAAAAAGAAAGAAAAAGACCAAACATATCTAAATAAAATAGACCAAAGACAAAAAGAAAAAAGAAAACTAAATATATTGAAAATTCATAATTGCGATTTATTTTTATTCTATTTCCTTTTTATTTTATTTTTTATCTTAATTTTTTCTTCTAATTTTTTTGTCTTCTAATTTTTTTGTCTTCAATATTTTTTTATTTGGATTATTTTCATTTTTTTTTAATTTTAGTCTTTTCTGTCACTGCTGTGATTTTTAATATATTTGTTCTTTTTTTCTATTTTTTGAATAAATCATAGGTGTTCTCCAAGGGAGGCAATTCTGTTCGGGGTAGGTCCAAGATTAAAGCTGTAAATTTCTCCTAAAGATGATACTGGAGAGGATCGAACACATGCTATCACAACCACTTGCTTAGCTCTCATGCGCCAACTGAGCTACCATCATTTGGTTTCTTCTATTTTTTTTTATTTTGACACATTTTTTTTTGTTACCATTTTTTTCTTTTAGTGTTTTATTAAGTGTTCTAAATTTTCATAACATTTGATTTCATTTTTCTTTATTTTATCACTTTATTTTTTCTTCTAAGAAGTGTAAAATAAGTATCTTTAGTTAATTTTTTAACAATGTTAAAGAGGAGTATAGATAGAGAAAATCACATGAGCTTAAGTGATTAAAAAAAAGCAGAGGGCTGTAAGTGATTAAAAAAAGCACAGGGCTGTAAGTGATTAAAAAAAAGCACAGGGCTGTAAGTATTTCAAAACATATCATAGAGTTTTTCTTTTCCAATATGTTATTATTATGGAAAAGATCTTTTTATACCGTTGTAAAAATAATAAATATTACACTCAATTTTAACCGTTAGTTTTGTATATTCGACGGTTATAATTTATTGAAAATTAATATTTAATTAATCAAAATAACTTAATCAATAACAGTCATTTGATGGATGAAAATCAACAATTAAAATTGAGTGTAAGATTTTTCATTCTTACACAATTGTAAATTGATCATGTCCTATTGTTATAGACCTATTTTTTTTTTCAAAAAAGAAATTATTTAGGAATATAGTATACACTCACTGATGGGTGCTTCATTCCTTTTGAAATCCACACTGCATTCGGGTTGGGCGGGACAGTTCATTCGTTGTTTTTTTTATTTGTTTACTAGTTATTGATTTGATAGATTTAATATTTTTGGTTTTGTAATTGTAATTTAGTCTCTATTGCTAGTTGTCTTGTATTAATTTTTATAATATGTTTTTTTTTATCTTTTTATTATTTAAGCAGATTGACCTTTTAGCTGATCATGAAAAAGATGGATTGTTTTTTTTTTTTTCATCCTATTTTAAAAATGTGGAGTAAGCAGGCCGTTAGAGATAGGGCACTAGCCACTAGGGCAGGACGGTTTAAGCATTTGCAAAATCTACTTCAACACATCTTATGGTACATATAGTGAGAAGAAATAGAAGGCTATAACAAATTAAGATTGTTAGGATGAGGATGGTTCGTGAAGTAATTCACTTGCAACACACTAATGATAAGGTTGTGGTACCCACGTTAATTAATGATAAAGGGATAAACCCCATACATGTGACGTATGTTTCACCAAAACTTAAAACAAGATAAAAAAAATAAGGAGATAATGATGATGCATTATTTGGGTACGTAATTATATCAGAATGAGCTCAAATTTAATCGGATTCTTGGAATCATGGATAAGGTTTTTCGCTTCACCATAAATCCTAACATTTTACGGACTTTTGATGAGATTATCTTTTATTGAGTACTTTTCCAATATTAAATAATCTTAAAATAAAAATGAAATATGGAAGTGAAAAAAAAGAAAAAGAAAAAAAGAAACCTGAAAAGTAACAGAGGCCAAAGGTGCACCCATGCCACGGTAGAGAGCAGCTGGTCCTTCCTTGGCTACAACATTTCTAACGATGGTTAAGGCAGAACCATTGTTGGAGCTCTGTTGAAGGATGCGGAGTGTGTCCAATGGGTAACCAGAGATCACACCAGCAGTGCCTCCAAAGCCTCCTGCTACAAACTCTCTATAAAAATCCATTATATATATATATCAACTTGATGATAAGAGTTTCTATCTGACTACTCTGCACGCGTCACTACTGGTGAGTGGATTGCAGAATGCAGAGAAATGTGATGGTGGGCTTGAATTTATTTAGAAACAACTGCAAGGTTACTTGTTGGTTCGGCTGGGTGACATCGCCTCCTTCGTGAACGGAATTTTATGTAGCCAATAATACGTTCCCGTTGGAGGCAAACAACGTTGTTATTTAAGTTTTGGCGTCGTTTAATTCACTTAGCGGAGAAAAATACTAAACACTGTGTTCTAAAATATATAGAAATAAAATCCTTTTTTTCTTCTTTAGAGTGGGATTTGAAAACTAAATGTAAAATATTTAAAATATACATAACTTTATGTCATTTAAAATGATAAATATTTTTTTCCTAAATGTATTAAGATTTAAACAAATATACATTTTGATAAAAATTTAAAATCAAGATAATTCAAAATTTTAAACTATTTAAATATATAATTTATTAACAAATCAATTTAATTCTCAGATTTGTTGTTATAAACAGAGATATAAATGGCCTGGGTTGTGCTAAGTTTTGCTAAATAGATGGAGTTTATGTACAATATTTTAAATCTTACTTGTCTTATATAAGCAAAATTATATGTCTGATTTAACTTATATTAAAAAAAATCAAAAGACCTAGCCTAAGCCTTTTATTTTATTTAAGTCTATAAGCCTTTAATACCTATGAAGAATTAAAAAAATAAATAAAATAATATTATTTTATTAATTAAAATAATTTATACAGTTTTAAAAAAATTCTGTTATCAAAATAAATAAATAAATAATATGATATGGTCTTATCTAGAGGTAGCAAGACGGGAGGCCACCTCCCGCTCGCCAAAAAATAGGTTGGTCCGTCCTGCTCCACCTTTGAAGGTGGGATAGCAAACTTAGCTCGGGAGGGCGGGCCGAGCCTGTTTTGTCACCTCTAATCTTACCTATAGGCTTTTATGTCAGCCTCGTAAAAGTAAGTCCATGGTAGTTAAAATCCCGATTTAAATTTGCGATTTTACGATTTTTTTCAATCAAAACGATTTTATTAAAATTTCAAACGCTTTTACGATTTTTTTTTTACGTTAGGATTTTACGTTTTACGATTTTTTATCTCTTTTCTAATTTTAAGTAAAATCCTAATTTTAACTACCATGAGTAAGTCTATTACCTATTTTTTAAAGAGACTTTTTTTAACATTTGAATCTGTTCTATTTTATAAATATATTAGGTGAGGTATAAAGTAGGCTGAATATAAATTATTTAGCTCATTTACACCCCTAATTATAAGCACACTATAAATATGAAAAATTAATTTGCATTTTGAATGAAATATTTTGTTTCGGAAGCTATAAAGTATTGTTTATTTTATTTCATTTTTTTGTCTTAGTTGCGTAAATATTTAAAAATTTGGCTATTGCTAAAATATGATAAAATAAAAAGTATAAAGTTGTTGAAATAAATTCCTTAATTTTCAAATCAACCATTATATAATTGGGCTTTTTCTCTTACAAATTCAAATATATAAATATATTTGTAAATAATTAATTCAAACAAAAAGTTCAAATAGTTAGGTGAATACATGTATTTTATATTATTTCTTATTATATATTTTTTATGCTATATTTCTTTTGAAATTTGAAGCGTGAATAATATATGTGTTTGTTTTGTTTATTATATTATGTTTAAATTCAAATTTCTTTTTTTTTATTTTTCATTTTTTTTATAAAAACCAGAGTGGATATAATCAAACTCTACATCCTTTGGATTTTGTAAAATTTTGGTATTATATAATGAACTAAATTAATCCAAAAGCTTAAAATTTTAAGAGCGTTTGTTATATGACATGATATTAGAATTTTTGTGGCCAAATGATCCATAATTTGAAAATTTTCATCCACATTTTTCTAATAATCTTCTAATAAATCTTCTTAAATCTTTTAACACAAGTAGATGGATATATATATTATCCACTCTTCAAGTCTAATTGGTTTTAGTGTAATAATGTGTTAGAGATATAAAATAAAAACATAAAATTATTCATCTTCTTTTACCTAATAACTTAAACTAGAGTTGATTCTTTTATAACATTTAAATGTGATAATGTATTTACTTTTTTTCTAACTATATTAAAAAACTATATGGTTTCACTTTTAATATGTTATACATATAGATTTGATCTGTAAATAAATTCAAAACGAAATCTTTATCAAAAATTTCAAATAATGTTGTTTCTTTTTATAAATATTACCTCACATGCCTGCATTATTGTCCTTGCAAAGGCACTGACTATTAAATTTAAACTTGCTTATCCTGACGAAATTATATATTTTAACATTTTTAACGGGGAAAATGTAATTACTATTTAATCTTTTTCAATTTATGAGACACATCAATTAGAAGGTGAGAGATAAGTTCATGGATTTGAGCATAAGGTTGAGTAAACCAACCCTCATCATTGCCTCGCAAAATCGAGAGCCTTGTACATCCTAATTTACCTTTCTTTATTAGACACATCAATTACATAATACTATTTTTAATTCTCACATTGAAATAAATACTATTTTTTTATTCTGAAATTGAACTTTTACCCCCGTTTGAGTGGATAGCCAATCATGAATTCAGTTATTTTCATTGACCTATCTTCTTGTCATCTTACTACTTCAGCCGCGCGCCTGGTCCCTTGGGCCTTGAATACTCAACATTTGCTAATCATTTTATTTGTCATTAGGGTCTAGGGAAACTACTATTTTTTTGGACTCAAGTATTTCAGCCTCCTTCTTGTTCTTATTAATTTGGTTGTTGTATTATTCAGATTTGTTCTCTCTCATCTCAATGTCATTTACCAACTATTTTTTGGACTTATCTACTTCAGCCTCCAGCTTCCCTTGAACACTCAACATTTGCCTGTCCTTTTCTGTTGTCATCTTAGCCACGAAAACTACCATTCTTTTTGGATTTAACTACTTCAGCCTGCACATTCGTATATTTATTTCGTTTTCATATTATTCGGGATTTTGTTCTCCCTTATCTCAAACTCATGCACAAATTTATTTATTTTTCAACAATATATTTTATAGATATAGAACATGAAAATTATAAAAAAAAAAATTGCGTAGAAAGAATTATTAAAATTATCGAGAAAACAATTATTAAAATACTCATGGTTGTGATATAACTTGAGGGATTAGTCTCGCTAGATTTTAGTCAAGTAAAAAAATATTGAAAATAATAATAAAAAATTAAAATAAAAAGTGAAAACAAAATTAACCAAAAGAAAAAGAAAATCTACCTTGGCCCACTACTATATTCGTTACCTCGCCCAATTCATATTTTTCTTTTCTTACAAAAAGGGAAATAAAGATAATAGAAGATTAAAAGGTGAAAATCATCTTTCCTGCATCAAGAATTCACTTGTATTTTGTTCGATGGCCTCGATCTCTGCTAAATGCATAGTTCATGGCATGATAAACACGTGCGTTGATGTTGGTCGAAACAGCAAATGGATTGCATGGGTGTTATTTTCACGATTTGATGGCGATGATGATGCATGGTCGTCGCCTGATTAATAAATATAATTAGGGATTCATGGTTGTTATTTACATTTCTTGATAATAGATCTTCACATTTCACATTGTGAATCAATCATCCACAAACAAATCAACAGTGAGAGATATAAAAGTTAGGAGCTTAGATACCATAGCCTTATATTGGTATCTTTGTATCATGGGTATTTGTATTTTCCATAACTGGTAACAATGTTGTTGACCGTTTGGTGCCATTTAATGGGAAAATTGGTGGTTCATTTTAGCATAGTGTTAGACTGTCATGTTATACATTAAAATACTACTGGTGTTTTTTCGAGCATGTAATATTATTATTAAAAAAATTCATGTTGTATGAAAAAATTCATGTTGTATGAAAAAATTAAATTTCTTAAAATATTCTTTATTGTTCGTATAAAATAATTTTATCTGCAGATAAGATAAATACTATACCCCTTTAAATAATAAGTATGAAAATTAAACTTTTTTAATAGTGTAAAAATTCACAATGAAGTGATGATATAAAATATTTTCACAATTATTAAAACTTTATATCCATTAATATTTTTTTTTATCGTAACTAACAAATATTTCATACATTGTTACAAAATTTCAAGTAAACTATAAAATTATAAATTATTCTTGTTACAAATTTTATTGTAACTAACAATTATAAATAAATTATGAATAATTAATGTAAATAAAATTTGAAAAACTTGACATCAAATCTTAGCCGTTGATTTTCGTCAATTTAATAATTCATAACCATTAGATTAATGAGAATCAACAGTTTAGATTTAATATTAAATGATTATGTTGCCATCAAAAAATATAAAATCATCAAAGTATGTATAATCAATCTAAAAATTAAAAAACATGAAATAAATATTTTTTTAAGCTAATAGTCTACTATGACTAGAGTCGGTAAAACAGGCTCAGCTCGGCGGGTCAACTCGCTCAACCCGCTAAACGGGGCGAGACATGCTGAATTTTTCAACCTAACTCAAAAGCGGGGTGGGGGGCAGACTCATTTTTTGGCGGGTTAATGACGTGCATAGACAGACTGAGGCGGGTCAGTGTAAAATAGGCTCGGGCTGACAGACCAACCCGCCCAACCTACCAAACAGAACGGGACGAGCTGACTCATTTTTTGACGAGTTGATGGCTGAATGAGACGGGCGAGACGGACCGCGCAGTTTGTCACCTCTAACTGCAATTTGCCACCTCTAACTATTACGCAGGCCAGCCAGGAAAAATATGTTGAACATGACTTTCTCTCCCTTTTTTTTTTTTCTTATTTTTTTTAGATTTGTGTGTATTTCCAACAAAAGGAATTTTTTTTTGGTGTTCCAGCTCTCACGTGTCCTTTCATTCAAGAGGTGATATTTGAACATAAAATTATTTTTTATTTTTTCTATCTTCTCCTCACTGATTATATGATTTTGATTGGTCACTAAACGTGTTCCAGACCACTGAAATTCAACAAAATAAGGGGTAGCTCAGAGCTTCTGCACATGGCGTTGCTGAGCCTAAAGGCACCTATATCTTCTGTATATGTGAATTCTTCGTCTTCTTCTTCTTCTTCTTCGTGTTCTTTTCCCAAATCTTGTTCCTTCAGTATCAGACGATGCTCATTTTGCCCTCTCCTTCCGCCACGCACTCTTGGGTTTCGGAGGAACCTCGTTCGCATGGCTCCCGAGGAGAAGAAGATGACTCGTCGTTCACCTCTCGATTTCCCAATCGTAAGCCTGTTCTCTCTCTCTTGATATTTTGGACTGGAAATTTTGTTGACTTGAATTGCTTCGCGGACAAGTAATAATAAAAAGGATTGCGTAGCCTCATTGAATGATTACAGTGTCTGAATTTGATTTCAACTAAGGGTTGATTTGTATACCTAGCAGGTTGAAATAAAACGAAAAAGAAATTGGTCAAGTTTAATTTGAATATGAATATTAGTTTTTCGGCACTAACAAGGACTTACAAGCTCACTACGCTGAACTATAATGGTTATATAATGCAGTCTTATTTAAATGAGAATTATGCTGAATTTTTATGAAAATCTCAAGGCTCTTTATGATTAATATTTTATCTTCTTCTAAGAAGAGAGTTAATCCTCGCCTTTTTGCTTGTCTTCAAGCATTTTCACTTCTCAGCAACCATATGCCCTAACTCAACTGCGGAGAGTTTGTCACCCAATATATTGGCTGAACCTTGTACAAGAGTCTATTTTTTTTTCAAATCTACTTTTATTCGCCTTTGAATCGGACCGGTGGTAAAAATGTTCCTTCATGACCGAAAGGTCATGGGTGAAAACAACATTTTTGCAATTATACAAAGATAAGGCTGCGTACAATGATTACCTTCACCCCACACTCGCTAGTCGAGTTTAATGGGAAGTGATTTTTTTTTTATTCGCCTTGGTGTTAGGGGTTGACTAAGAGGTTAATGATAGAATTAGAACTTGAATGATTAATCACTGTATAAATATCTATGTTTGTAAAGACAGGACTCATGATATGCCAGCTTGTTTTGATGCTTGGTTGAATGATTCATAAGCAGAGTTTGTACTGTAGTCTGTTTAATGCATTTAGTCAGTTCGAAACAGAATGACATTTTGCTCCTTGTGGTACAATGCAAGTTTGTTGACTACCCTAAAATGCATTATAATGATCAATATTATGTTTATACTCTCAGATAAATGTGAAATGTTGTAGTTTGGAAGCTGTGATAGTGAACTTCATTTTTTATTCTTCAGGACCTTACTCAATATCCGTATCTTCTTCTGCATACTTGAAGTCATGGTAAATAAAGAGATACTTCACAGCAAGCACTTCCCTTCCTCCCCCATTGATAATTATTTCCAGTTTGATGGTATAAATAAGGGAACTTGTCTCGGTAGAAGATACTAGATTGTAAGCCAGACTACTCTTTCCAGAATTTTCTTTTCCATAGTTCCATAATCTGGTTAACTTATAATAATTTAACCTTTCATTTCGGTAATTTTATGTTTTGTGATATTACAAACTCTTCCGCTTCTCAATCTATTGCTATTCAATACATGAGCTGATGGTTGGTTGAATACATCTACTAACAGGAATGGGAAAGGCCTAACCCAGCACGACAACCTGATATATTCCCCAAATTTAGTCCAATGAAGACCCCTTTGCCATCTCCATTGCCTGCAGATCCTCCTGAAGAGGATGAAGAAGAGGAAGAAAAGAAAGAGGAAGAAGGAGAGGAATATCCTGAAAAGGAGGAGACAGATAGGTCACAACAGCAATGGTGGAGGAGATGAGTTGTCTTGGTTCCTCCTTCAGTTATCTTGATGTTTTCTTCCAGTCTGCTGCTTGCCAATCTTAATGCATGGTATCATGTAAAGATCACTCTATTCTATCATAAATTTGAAGTGTTGAACTTTCTTTCTCTTTTCTAGGTTCCAATTGGGAAGTTTGCTTTCATTGTACCCTTTAGTCAGTATATTTTCCCATCATACAGCATTATTACATATTTTTTGGCTACGATACTGAAGCATTTTGTTCTACTCGATCTACTTCTTTTTGTACTTAATACATCACATTGATGGTTCTTGATTTTTAGTTATGATGCGGGTTTGGTGTTGATTGTATTGCTTATGATGAAATTGACAAACAGATGGGGCTTTATGGTCAAGTTGATAAGGCGCCGTGGTAAATTCTGTAATAAAGCTGACTATGGGGCGGTCTGGATTTCAGGTGCGGCTGCACTGGAACCTGTGTATTTACCTAACTTGATTTTTTTTTTGGTGCAAGTTTAGTTCATTATGATGATTGACAAAACTTTCGAATGTGATCGCCCTTAAAATGTCAAATACCCTGTTAGTATTAGACAAAGAACGAATGGAACTATCATTGAAGCTTGTTGAGGGTAAAATTATGCCTCTGAAGCTCGCAGATGTATTGTGATTTTCTTGTTGAAAAAACTAATCCACCCCTTAGGAGTGTGTACATGTTCAATTTTGTGCATGTATCCACAATTTAAGGAATCCTAGAACATTCATCTTCCATCCTGTGGTGAAGTTGTTACATCATTACAGGAATAATATTCTTCACCGTTATCAGGCAATTTGGTGTCTTTCGCAATTACGTTCGGGGAGATTTTGGGTTCTGCTAGGACAGCTGTTTCATTTGACAGAAAAGAAACAACATCTCGCATGTTAGGTCTATCCTTAGCTTTGTCTTGCGCACACAGGAGACCAATATGTACGTATTTCAACATTTCATTAGCCGTGTAAGTTCCGTTCAGTATAGGGTCTATTAGTTGGAGCGCTCTACCTTCATTCCACAACATCCATGCCTGAAACACATTTATATAGAAAGGTATTTTATATATGGAACTTCTGATTAATGATGCATATTTATTGAAGGAGTTGATACAGAGCGTACATATCCTATAAGATTGTCGGGATATTCATGAAAGTAACAGTTCTTCTTGCCACTAACAATTTCGAGTATTAGCACTGCAAAACTAAAACATCAGTTCTAGTTGATATAACACCTTTTGAAACATACTCTGGAGGCATATATCCGCTGAAAAAAAATATGAACATTTAGCCTTTAAATGAAACAATAGAGGCTAATTAATTACTTATATCAATAAAACCATAATTTAGATGTGTACTTACAAAGTTCCAATGACTCTATTTGTGATTTCTTCGTATTCTTTCAATCCAATCATTCTTGCGATGCCAAAATCAGATATTTTTGGTTTCATCTCATTATCAAGTAAAATATTATTTGACTTTAAGTGTCGGTGAACCACTCCTAAATTTGAAGATTTATGAAGATAAAGAAGGCCTTGAGCAATACCTTGAATGATATTAAGTCTTCTCTCCCAATCTATCAGGATAACGTGGTTGGAATCTAGTCCAAGAAATATTGAAATAAATAAACAGTATAAAACTATTTATATATATCCATCAAATTGGAAAAACTTTTTAAAAAAAGAAGAATGTAATAGATATAAAGCATACCAAAAAGGTAGAAGTCCAAGCTCTTGTTGGGCAGATATTCGTAGATGAGCATTCTTTCTTCTTTCTCAATGCAGAACCCACAAAGTCTTACCAAATTAGGATGTTGAAGTTTAGCTATCAATTCAATCTCGTTCTCAAATTCAGTTAACCCTTGTCTTGAGTTTCTAGAAAGTCTTTTTACTGCTATTTCTTGCCCATCAGGTAATTTTCCCTGAAACATATCTTTCTCATCAAATTAATCATCTTGTTTAAATAGAGAATAATCAGAATACTGGACTGAAAGTATTATCTTTTTCTTCCCCGCTAGTTGTGGGAGTCATCTCTTTTGACTGTTGTGAAATTAGCAAAACAATGTCCTCATAAAATCTTGATCTTACTTTGTAGACGGGTCCGAAGCCACCCTCCCCCAACTTATTTGTTGAGAAGAAGTTGTTAGTTGCCACATCAAGGCTTTCAAAGCTGAATATATGCATCTCATGCCTTGTCAACTCATTTTTATTAAATTTTCCGACCTCGCCGTTTACAGAGGAATGTATTTCAAAACCTCTAATTTCAGATAGTAACATCTTTTGATACGATCTCTCTTCACATGATAGCCATGCAAGAAGAATGAAAAAAATGGGTAAGAAAAGAATCAACCTCGTAAAAGATATTTTTAAATTCTTAACATGGAAGTTTACCCTCTAGGCTTATTACCTTTCTTCCTATAAAAATGGCATGCGCAGATGATCGATGCCAGTATCACTAGAGCTCCTCCTGCAACGCTAGCTATCCATGTTACTTGATATCTTTTGCTACATAAAATAAATTTCATCATCATTAGAAGTTGAGAACACGCATTGAGTTATTGCCAGTGGTAGTGTCCTTCATTTTTTATTACACATTTCTCGGGTTCTTTTTCTTTTTCTTCTCTCAATATTCTAGTAATATATAAAAAAAATTAGTGAGAGATAGCGGCATTTCATAAGTAACGTGAAAGGAAAGTTGGAAATATTCATATATGTTTTTCAATTCTATTAGCCACGATGAATATTAAAAAATTGAAAACATTTGGAAAGGTGTCCCTTAGATCTTTACATAAGAAACGTGAGAGATAGCGGCATAACTTAGTGATAAAAAATATATTAAATGTAATTTTTAAAATAAATCTGTTTTAAAAATAAGCAAGTAAAATAATATTCACGATTGATTTAAAAATAAAATAAAATAATTTTAATCTGCTAAAGTTTAAATATAAATATATTTTCATTTAATCACTTCATAAATAATTTCACTTTAAAGCAACTAATTTTAAAAAGATTAAATATCCTTTTGGGTTCTTAATAAAAAACACTGTCACCATTTTAGTTTCTTAAAAAAAAAAAATTACTCTCCAAGTCTCTAAGAAATTCAAAGTAGACCTATTTAGTTGAAATCGTGATCTCTCATAAATTCAAAAAAGATCCACATTAGTCTCTCAAAAAGACTAAAATTGGTTCATTTTAAATTTCTTAAGAATCTTGAGACTAATTTTTTTTTTTTTAAGGGGGACCATATTTTTTGGTAGGGACCCAAAAGGTATTTATTGTTTTAAAAATAACATATCTAGAACTTTGCTTTCTTGACACTAATTTAATGATCTATGTCACACATGAGCTACGATTGTGTGGGTCTATTTTTTTAATTTTAATAAAATTATGACAGTATACAGTGTTATCATACATTTGAAAGTGATCCAGAAAAGAAACAAAGCAATTAAAAAGAAGTAGCATTGTGCATAGTTATGCACTTACCCTTGGATTTTTCTTCTACAATATTAGTAGTATTTGTGGGATTATCTCGGATGAAGTAAATTGGCCTTCCACTAGGAGATGCATTAAATTCAGCGCCCTTATCCCACATCTCACAACCAGTATTATCCTCATGTGTGGGGGAAAAGAAGGAACATGAGCAACTATGGAAGCACATAGCGCCGCAATCATAAAGATCAATCATTTCCATTCCGTCACTCTTGTAACCGAGTGTAGACATGTAACCATGCATGAAGTCCCCCAATGATAAATAATCATTTGGGTTCCTGCACTTGGGAGGTTTAAGAGGAAGCACACATCCACTAACAGTAACATGTGCATTGCACGAGACAGAAGCTCCACCAGTGAGTTGACCCTTAGAATCTAAGACAATAGGATCTTCATGAGCCGATGATGCCACATAAACGTAACTGGTTTCGTTTTCATTTGAAATACATGCAAAATAGTGATCCTTTTTGACAGATGTCAATCTTAAATTTGGAAACCTCCCTTGTTCATTCAGAGGTCCACTTCTCCAAAAGATGTTCCCTTTCCACCAAATGACCAATTGTTTTGTATCAAGAGGGTCCACCCCAAGAGTGAAGGAACCCAAAACTGGCATGTTTGGTCCAACCCATGATGTTAGGTTCCATACATGTCTTGTTCTCCAGTTGAATCCGAGTTTGGACCATGGCAAGAGGATGTTACATGGGGTGTTATGACTTTCCCAGAGGACCTTCGTAGAGCCATTTGCAAATGTTTGTTGGAGTTTGAAGTTGCCGTCATCATGCAAAGTGGCATGAGCATTGACAAGGTGTGCTGCTCCATGAGAGTATAGTTGTATAGAGTTTGAATCCCCACTGTACATAATTTTCATGTTCCCATAATCATCAATGATAAGACTTGAAAAGGGTAATCAGAAAAATATTATTAAATTGTGTAAATAATCTGATACAAAGAGGTCTCTATTTATAGAGACTAAAAAACTTAATTCTTGACCTAATGGACTTGGCCCAATACAACAAATAATAATAAATAACTAATATTTATAACACTCCCCCTCAAGCTGAAGAATAGATATTTATCATTCCCAGCTTGCTAGTAAGTTCTTGAAATCTGTCTGAAGGAAGTCCCTTTGTCAATAGATCAGCTAATTGACGCCCAGTGAGAATATATGGAGTGGTAATCAATTCGCTATCAAGTTTCTCTTTGATGAAATGGCGGTCGACCTCAATATGTTTAGTCCGATCATGTTGAACCGGATTATGAGCTATATAAATAGCGGACTTATTGTCACATAGCAGTTTCATAGGTCCCTCACATTTTATTTTGAGATCATCAAGTACAATTTTCAGCCACAGTAATTCACAAATGCCTTGAGCCATAGCTTGAAATTCAGCTTCTACACTTGATCTGGCAACCACATCTTGTTTCTTACTTCTCCATGTCACCAAGTTACCGCAAAGAAACATGCAATAACCAGTGGTAGATCGACGGTCAGTCACGGATCCAGCATAATCAGCATCAGTGTAGACTTCTAAAGAGAGATTGCCATCACGTCGGAATAACAATCCTTTACCAGGAGTAGTTTTAAGATACTGAAGAATTCTCTCTACTATCTGCATGTGTTTCTCCTTTGGATCGTGTATAAACTGACTGACAACACTAACAACATAAGCTAGGTCTGGTCTAGTATGAGCCAGATATATCAATTTCTCAACTAACCGTTGATATTGTCCTTTATCAACTGGAGGACTTTCCTCTTCATAGCTTATCTTGTGATTCTGCTCAATAGGAGTATTAGAGGGTTTACACCCGAGCTTTCCTGCTTCTTTGAGAAGATCAAGAACATATTTTCTCTGGCTGATAAAAATTTCTTTGCTTGAATGAGCTACTTCTATCCTAGGAAATATCTCAGTTTCCCAAGGTCTTTGACTTCAAACTCAGAGGCAAGCCGTGTTTGCAGAACCTGTCTCT